AAAAAAAAAATAGCTAAAATTCACTTTTTTCTTGTCAATAATAATATGAAATAAAAGGTTTGACCAAAGTCAAAGAGTTGATATAGGCATAGTCACAGATACGATAAACTGAAAGAGCCAATTTAGTTGCAACTTGCGATTGCAAGGTTCGGAAACGGAGATGGAAGTATGGAACCAAAAGAGACTTTGTCGGAAAGAAATGACCAAAACACCCTTCACATTTGTAGCTTTCCTAAGACAATGATTTGTGTCTCCCAAACCAATCACAGAGACAAAATAGTAAATCTGTGATGCGAAGCCAATGGACGTGTTTTGCATACCAACAACCAAATTTTTAAAAAAATTTCTTCCTCTTTATTTTGTGGTGATCTTTCTCTCTTATCACACTCTTGAATTTATTTGAATTTATCTGTTTGTTTTTTCAGAATATAATTCCAATAGAGACGGTTCGCAGAATCTGACGATGTTTTTTTTTTTTTTGAGAAACCGAATCTGACGATGTTGCCATTCATAATCTTCATGATTGACATGAACATTTCAGATATTTTCCCAAGTATATAATATACGATTATATAACTAATACACTTGTGTCACTCTGTTATTCTCCTGTGTTTCTTTATTTTTATATAGTTAAAAAAATTTATGACATTTCAGACGTTTCTCATTCCTTATGGCAGGTTGTATCTGAATATATACGACAGACAGTTGTTTAAAGGGTTTACCTTGAAGCCTAAGAGAAATATATGGGCATAGAATAAGTACAGCTTTGCAACGTACATACATTTCGAATATTAGATATTATAATGTAGGCGGGATTTAAATTATATCTTCTTAGAACATCTTTAATGGAGAAATTTTAGTAGGTGTCTTAACACAATTTTAATTAAAATATAATAAATTTTTAGACATTTTAATGAAAGGGATTCTATGTATTGACACTTTAATGAAAGAGGTTTTAATGAAATTAATATTAAAAAATGATTTAAGACACTTTAAAGAGATTAATGTTAAGGATTTTTTTTTGTTTTTAAAGTGTTACACAATTCACTCGAAACTAATTAGTACATATGTTCATATGTCTTACGACGAATCCTTACAAAAAAAAAAGTATTTGGACAATACATGATATATACTTGAATATGTTTCATGCAATAAATAAACCCTTTCTAATTTAACTCCAAATTGAGAATAAACTTGATATAGGACTAGGGACGTAGCTTTAGGGCTTTACATATGAATTGCTCTTAATAAAAGTCAAACTAATTAATCACTATGATGAGACTAAAAACTAATAAAAAGGAAAAAAAAGAAGATGCATGCATCCATGGAATTAGTAAGAACAGCTTGAAATGGACCATATGTTGAAGGATGATCAATGTGGGATTCTACGTTTACTTTCTCGTCCTTTTTTAATTAAATAAAAAAGGAAATAAAATAGAATTACTTGAACTTGAAAAAGGCTCGTTTTCATAATTAAATCATAAAATTCTGGTGTGGTTTCGATTCCTAAACGTTTTTTAGTTTTGTATAAAAATATTATAAATACATATAAATTTATTGAATTCTTCCTTTTTTTTGTGTGTACAAGATACTTGCAAGTAGTGGTGTTTTTTTTTTTTTTCATCTAAAGTTTTGATTAGAATATAAGACCCAAGGTCCAAGTGTTTATAATTACAAAAGCCCAACGGCAATCTCATAACCCCAAAAATGGTGAAACTATTTCAACCAAACAAAACGGCATAAGCTTATGCAGAGGAAACCATGTTCTCATACCCACGCCTGTACTTGAGCCACCCCGGAGCACCAGTCTGTACATATGACTGCAACCTTCCATCTTTTGGTACGCTCTGTGCTATGAGAATCACTTCTCTAGAAGCTTCACCTCCTTCAAACTCTAAAGACCATCCTCTAATCCTTCCAGAAGCTTTCAGCATGATTGAAACTTGAAACTAGCAGGCCATCTCAAAGGGTTTGCAACTGCTCCAACTATTTCCAACCAATCACATGCAAAAATCACTTGCTCAAACTTGTGATGTCTCATAGATTCTATGGCCCAAAGAAAACTTTGAAACTTT